GGAGAGGTTCTAGAAGAGTTGTTCTTGCCAAATGAAGGTCATGAGGTTGAGAGAAATAAAAAGGATGATGAGGATCTTAGAGAGGGAGATGAAGAAATATTTGATGAATGCATTGTAACATCTTACCATGATTGGTGCAAGATTTGTTATGGCCTTAATAGCCATTAAAGAGTGCTAATGGTAACAGTTGTAACGGTTATCGTTACAACTGTTACAAAGCCTATATTGATGGTTAGATAGGCTATATAAGTGAGATCCTCCCACTACTCAAGTAGTGTCAATATACTAACAAAATATACACCATCCTATTATACTTGAGACAAGTGGGAGTCACTCTGCCCAAATCACTGCAGAAATTCAACTAAGGCATTATACAACAACACAAAGGCAAAACAAGCAAACAACTATGGCTGGAGGTTAGTCCTTATTATCACATATACAATGTTGTATAAATGTATATGTGCCTATTATTTCTTACATTTGGTATCAGAGCCTATTTTATCTCTGCCTAGTTGTTCAAACTGCCTATATTTGTAAAAGGATCAAATTCAAGAAAATAAAGCAAATATTGATCTGTACTGTTTGATTGCAAATTCTATAATATTGATTTCATATGTTTTATTTTTGCTTTATATATGAATCGAAAATGAATATGCGTGTGAATATATATATATAGATACACATTGTTTTGTATTCTTAATAAACCTTTAAAGTTTATGGTTTATGTTTGAAACTACAATCTGTACTGTCTTGTTTATTAGTATTCTTAATATCAAGAGTAAACCTTCTCAGTATGTATATTATACACATATATCTGTATATATATATACATGTTCCTGTTTGTCTTTAAAAATAAAAAAAAAAGAAAAAAAAGGGGAAAATCCAACCTACAGTTACGGAGAAATTTTTCTCCGATTTTGGTCTCCCTATTGGCCCTTCACCGTCGATCCTGTAATGATTTCGGACGGTCCCTTTCCGGCGACTTTGATCGCTTTTGGAACGGTGATTAAAACAGTGTCTTGGGATCTCAGAGTGGATGGCGACGGTGTCGGCAGCTTTGCAGCTGAGGAACGAAGATGGAGGGGCGGCGGTGATGAGGCTCGGGCGATGGTGGCGAGCGAAGTTGCCTTCTGCCGTTGGCTCCGGCCGGCCTCTCTTCCGGCGATCTCTCTCCCTCTCTCCGTCGGCTAAGGATGTCGTCGTCTCTTCCGCTTCAATCTGCGCTGCCAGGTTCCTTTGTTAATTGAAAGGGAATATAGGTGTTTTTGTTTGGGCTGATGGGTATCTATTTAATTGTTTAAATTTGTTTAGGTGGTTTGGGCCTGCTTATATAAATCAGCAATCATAAAGTTTGCATTAATATAATTTTTCAAATTGTTCATCAATCTTTAATTATTTTAATACATAATTTTAATTTGTTATGGGCCTACAATTTGGTTTTAAAGTATTGTAAATTATATTGTTTTAATATATTTTCATTCAAATTTTAAATTGAGATTGAATTTAAATTCTATTATTTTGTAAACTCATGTGTTAAATTGCTATAATGTTTGTGCGATTTATTTGTTTAATATGAGTTTGTCTTTTGTAATATGCATATTATATCCAATTAGCATAATTTTAATTTATTTTAATTATGCGATTTAATTATATGCCTTAGAAATGCATATTTTAGGAATTTCTTAAACTCCTTAGTACTTGGACTTTGGTAGTGCCTTTAGGAGTTTGTTGAATTCCTTAGAAGTTGGACTTTAGCATATTGCGGTTATAAAAGTACATAAGGTTTAGTACGACTATGATAGTGCCTGAAGGTTAGCACATTAAGATCAAAAGTTCATCTATTCTTAAAGTCTTTTCCAAACTGCGAACTTCAAATTTTTGAATCAACCCTTCAAAACGTTATGCTATAATATGAGAATGCATGAACCGGGGAAAATTTCTTGGGAAGAAAACTAGAATAGCCAATATGCTACTAGTTCCCTTGGAATCCTACTCTGTCTAAGGAGTTGGTATTTAACCGAGTTCATCTCGACCAACTTTCCTGGGAGTATACTCGGTAATTGCTTATCATGTTAAGTGCATAGTTTGTTTTGTTAAATCTATGCCGATGTGATAATACAAATTTAATTAGTTAAGGAGTAGCCACAACATCCTTAATTTAATTAAAATTGTATATCAAGCTTTTCCAAATCACATAAAGTTTAGGCATAAATTGTGATTAATTATATGTAATATGATGAAATTTAGCCCACAGGAAATTTTGTTATATTTGTATGGTTAATCAGGATAAAAATACCAAACTATGATCATAATTCAGCCCACAGGCAATTATGCATCGGCATATAATCTTTGGTAGTTTTATCGTTGAACATAGAAATTCAACCTTGTTCCCATCCCATTTCTATTCTAAAATTTTCTAAGGTCCCTTTTGCGTAAAAATTTAGCCCGCAGGCAATTTTTATGGCATTTGGATCTTTGACATGCATCATTTACATTGGTAATGTATGCGATTCAGTTAATTTTATGCCTCAAAATTCTAATCCAAACCTTTACCTTTACAGCATCTCAATTCGTTACTCATACTGATTTGAACATCGAAGTTCCCGAACTTAGGGGCGACAACTACAAAATTTGGAAAGAAAGGATTCTTCTAAGTTTAGGGTGGAGAGACTTGGACTTCGCTATCCATAATGTGCAACCACCGGTCCCCACTGAAAAGAGTACCCAAGATGACATTGCACTATATGAGCGATGGTATAAGTCCAATCGGCTCAGTACAATGTACATCAAGGCGAAAATATCTGATGGGATTCGGGGCTCCGTTAGTGAAACGGATGACGATGTCCAAGCATTGCTCAAGTCTATTGACGACCAGTTTGTCACTTCAGAAAAGGCTTTAGCAAGCACCCTCATCATGAGATTCTCCTCTCTCCGTCTCACTTCCGTCAAAGGTGTGCGTGCGCACATCATGGAATTGCGGGACATTGTGGCTCAACTTAAGACTCTTGGGGTAGATATGTCGGATGACTTCATTGTGTACTATGCTTTGTACACCCTACCATCACCATATGGACCTTTTAAAATTTCTTATAACACACATAAGGAAAAATGGTCCATAAATGATTTAATGACCATGTGTGTTCAAGAAGAAGGAAGATTGGTGATGGAAATGGGAGAAAGTGCCATGCTGGCTACGGCACACGAGAAGTCCAAGTCTGGCATATCTCGAGGTTCCACTTCTAAGGCTAAGGGGAAAGGAAAACTTTCCCCTCAAGCAGACATAAAGAAGGTGCATAAGTGTTTCTTCTGTAAAAAGAAGGGACACAAGAAGAAAGATTGCATCAAGTACAAAAAGTGGATTGAGAAGAAAGGTATTCTATCCTCATTCGTTTGTTATGAATCTAATATATCTGAAGTTAACACTAATACTTGGTGGATTGATTCTGGTTCAACAATCCACATTGCAAACTCTTTACAGGGAATGTAGGATCTAAGGAAGCCGGTGGGAAGTGAACAAACCATCTTATCAGGAAACAAGATGGGGTCACAAGTGGAAGCCATTGGAACATGCAAGCTTATTTTAAGTAGTGGCTTTGTTTTGATTTTGAATAAGACATTTTATGTACCAAGTTTCTCCCGAAACTTGATATCTGTTTCTAGACTTGTGCCGTTGGGTTTCTCCTTTAATTTCCAAGACAAGCATTTTGATATTTTCAATAAATCAACATGTGTTGGATACGGTACATTGTCTGATGGTCTTTATCGTTTAAATTTACAAAACAATGCCACTTATAGCTCATTGCATGTTCACTCCGGTTCCAAAAGATCGAGTGTTGGTGAGAACTCCTTTATGTTATGGCATCGGAGAGTAGGTCATATCTCCCTTGAACGTATAAAGAGATTAGTAAATGATGGAGTACTTAGTACTCTTGATTATACTGATTTCGAGACTTGTATAGACTGCATTAAGGGAAAGCAGACGAACAAGTCTAAGAAAGGTGCCAAAAGGAGTTCAAGCATATTGGAAATCATACATACTGACATTTGCTGTCCAGATATGGATATGCCAGGTCAAAAGTATTTCATCACCATCATTGATGATTACTCGTGATTTACCTATGTGTATTTGGTTCATAATAAGAATGAAGCGTTGGATGCCTTCAAGTCTTTTAAGGCTGAAGTTGAGAACCAATGTGGGAAAGGAATACAAATAGTAAGATCCGACAGAGGTGGTGAATACTATGGTAGGTACACTGAAAGTGGACAAGAACCTGGTCCGTTTGCTAAGTTTCTTCAAGAATATGGGATTGTTTCCCAATACAGCATGTCTGGTTCTCCGGACCAAAATGGTGTTGCTGAAAGAAGAAACCACACGCTTATTGATATGGTGCGGAGTATGCTTAGCAACTCAAAACTTCTTAAGTTTTTGTGGGCCGAAGCACTTAAGACGGCTACGTATATATTAAACCGTGTTCCAACCAAGGCTGTCCCAAAGACGCCATTTGAGTTATTTAAAGGTTGGAAACCGAGTTTGCAACATATGCATGTTTGGGGATGCCCGTCTGAGGTGCGGATATATAACCCACAAGAAAAGAAGTTGGACCCGAGGAATATTAGTGGTTTCTTTATTGGATACGCACAATCCTCCAAGGGATACAGATTTTATTGTCCATCTAATTCAACTAGGATTGTGGAATCAAGAAATGCTAAGTTTCTTGAAGATGACATGATTAGTGGGAGGGATCGGTTCAATGATTTGATTTCTAATCATGATCATATTGAATCATGTCCTTCTACGTCATCAGATAGGTTGATAATAGTTTCAAACACCCCTCAAGTTGAAACGGGTATTGAACGACCTATTGAAAAAGTTCCACAAAATGCTGATATTATTCCAATTGATCAACCAATTCAGGAAATTCCTAAAGCGGTAGTTGAACCGCTAACTTCTCAAGAAGACGGTAGTTCAACTTTAAGGCGATCTACTCGTGGAAAAAGACCAGCAATTCCTAGTGATTATATAGTGTATATGCAAGAGTCTGATGTTGGAGCCAAAAATGATCCTGAAACGTTTTCACAAGCCATAAACTGTAAAGAATCAGATTTATGGTATGAAGCCATGAAGGAAGAAATGAGTTCCATGCGAAGCAATAGGGTTTGGGACCTTGTTGAGTTGCCTAATGGGGCCAAGGCCATTGGCTGTAAATGGGTCTATAAGACTAAAAAGGACTCATTAGGAAACATCGAGCGATACAAGGCTAGGCTCGTTGCTAAAGGATTTACTCAAAAGGAAGGAATCGACTACACGGAGACATTTTCTCCTATGTCAAAGAAAGATTCACTTTGTATAATTCTGGCTTTGGTTGCACATTTCAATCTTGAACTGCAACAAATGGATGTGAAAACGGCATTCCTTAATGGTGATCTAGAAGAAGAGGTTTATATGAAACAACCTAAAGGATTCTCTTCTAGTGAAGGTGAGCGTTCAGTTTGCAAGTTAAAAAAGTCCATCTATGGCTTAAAACAAGCTTCCCGCCAATGGTATATAAAGTTTAATGGGGTCATTTCTTCATATGGATTTGTTGAAAGTCCCTTAGATCATTGCATATACCAAAAGACAAGTGGGAGTAAAATTTGCTTTCTTGTTTTATATGTGGATGATATTCTACTTGCAACTAATGATAAGGGAATGCTGCACGAGGTTAAGCAATTCCTTTCTAAGAATTTTGATATGAAAGATATGGGCGAGGCATCTTATGTCATTGGCATAAAGATCCATAGGGATAGATCCCGGGGTATTCTCGGACTATCGCAGGAAACCTATATCAACAAAGTCTTAGAAAGATTTCGGATGAAGGATTGTTCACCGAGTCCAGCTCCTATAGTGAGAGGAGATAAATTCAGTTTGGACCAATGTCCAAAGAATGATTTTGAAAGAGAATCCATGAAGAATATTCCTTATGCTTCAGTTGTCGGATGTCTCGGGTATGTTCAAGTCTGTACTAGGCCGGACATCGCCTTTGCTGTTGGAATGCCGAGACGATATCAAAGTGATCCGAGTTTAGACCACTGGAGAGCTGCAAAGAAGGTTTTAAGGTATCTCAAGGGTACCAAGGATTACAAGCTTGTGTTCAAACAGATGGATGTTTTGGACATTGTTGGATATTCTGACTCGGACTTTGCCGGTTGTGTTGATTCTCGGAAATCAACTTCGGGGAACATTTTTATCATGGCCGGTGGAGCTGTTTCATGGAGAAGTGTTAAACAAACTCTTGTCACCACTTCAACCATGGAAGCCGAGTTTGTTTCATGTTTTGAGGCTACATCTCAAGGTGTATGGCTTAAGAATTTCATTTCGGGGCTTAGGGTTATGGACTCTATTTCTAAGCCATTAAAGGTTTATTGTGACAACTCAGCTGCAGTCTTCCTGGCTAAGAACAATAAATGTGGGAGTCGAAGTAAGCATATCGACACCAAGTACTTAGCTATCAGGGAGCGTGTTAAAGATAAGAAAGTGGTCATTGAGCATATAAGCACTGAGTTGATGATTGCTGATCCCTTAACTAAAGGCATGCCACCATTCAAGTTTAGGGATTTTGTTGAGAAAATGGGACTTGCGCCCACTTTGTAAAGTTTGTATACATACAGTTATTTTTATGCAATTCTTAAAGCATTCAGATATTTTCTCATTATTATATTGTGCACATATTGCTGAGAAAATATATATCTTATGGACCTGGAATAAACATAAGGTTTATCCATTAAGTTTTGGTTAAAGCACATAAAGTACTTAGAGAACAAGTTACATTGTGATTATAGTAGATACTACTCGTATTAAGAGGACATATCTCTATGGTTCATGTATTTTGTTTCTTTTAAGTTTGTTCTTGCACCAAGTGGGAGAATGTAACATCTTACCATGATTGGTGCAAGATTTGTTATGGCCTTAACAGCCATTAAAGAGTGCTAATGGTAACAGTTGTAACGGTTACCGTTACAACTGTTACAAAGCCTATATTGATGGTTAGATAGGCTATATAAGTGAGGTCCTCCCACTGCTCAAGTACTGTCAATATACTGACAAAATATACACCATCCTATTATACTTGAGACAAGTGGGAGTCACTCTGCCCAAATCACTGCAGAAATTCAACTAAGGCATTATAAAACAACACAAAGGCAAAACAAGCAAACAACTATGGCTGGAGGTTAGTCCTTATTATCACATATACAATGTTGTATAAATGTATATGTGCCTATTATTTCTTACATGCATTGCAATGGAGACACCAAGTTGGGAGGAAAATGAAGAGGATGAGGTGAATGGTGGCAAGGAACATATAGAGAGTTTCCCGTTAGATGAGGAAGTTCTTAATGGAGCACATGATTTGAATGAGGATGTCTCACCAATGGAGAACACTTCCCTTGGAGAGAACTTTAGAGAAAGTTTGAATTTGGGAGGCATTGGAGTTCTTAAGGATGATGACACACATTTGCCTATCTATATATCCAATGATTCGCAATACTTGTTGGTTCATGTGGATGATCCGAGACTCTCATTACTTGTTGAACAAGAAAGTGTTGAAAAGGAAGGAAAAGGGAATGGAGGCATAATTCTTTATTCGGGCAAATATGGTTCCTTACATGATGACATAAAGGGTTCAGGCTTAAGAGAGTTTATAAATGAACATCTCTTGAAGAAATACTTGGAAGAGAAAATTGATGGAAAGAAGGGGATCTTTCTTCTCCAATCACTTGATGGCTAGAGGGGTAACGTCGAGCTAACGACGTTAAATTTAGCGCTTCATGGGAGGCACCCCATGTTATCTTTTATTACTTTCCCTATTTATTTATTGCTTTCTAGTTTCGTTTTATTTAGTTTTATTGCTTTCTAGTTCGTGATTATTTTATTGTTTCTTTGTTTTCTCTTTTCTCTTGTTCTCCTTTTCTTTTATTTTGCATCAGGGACAATGCAAATTTTTTAAGTGTGGGGGAGGAGTTAATAATTTGAGGATATTTTTAAAATTTTAAAATTTTTGCTTTTGCTTGAATGACTCATGCTATTTCTGATGAATAAGTTACTTGTCTTAGCATGCAATTGCATTTACTCTCTCTTGTTGGTTTGAGGTTTGTTTTAGTGGTGCTTGCTGCATCTCAATTTGTGATGGATGATTTGAGGTGTAACACATAATTGATCTATTCCCTTGCCAATAGCTTTTTTAACCACTTAATAATTGGATTAATTCTTGATCTTGTTTGTTATGCATTGCTAGTGAAGGCTTATGTGAGATTCTGGTCATGGGTGTTTTGCTAGAACTTGCCTCATTACTCCCTAAGTGATGTCTAAGTTTTGCATGTTTTGAAATGATTTAGGCCACTTTTGTTTAGCCATAGCCTTTAAACATGTCCCTATATATATTTTTATCCTTTGTGTCCCCATTGTGCCTTTTGTTTGTTTAAATAAGTGCTAAGCACTTATCCCCTCTTTGTGATTGTTTTGATTTGATTTACCCCATTATTATAACCCTTAGCCCTTGGCCAAATATTTCCCTTCCACCCTTGAGAGAATATAATGAAACTTTTATCTTTATTATTTCCGTAAGAATAGTTTTTATGGAGTTGTGCCAAAAAAAAAAAAAAAAAAAAAAGCTACTGTTACAATTGTTCAAGTGTGAGGGAATTGAAAGATTGGATTAAAATTGTCTTGCAGTATTCAAAAGAAATCCAAAGAAAAGAATCGAAAAAAAAAGAAGAGAAAAGAAAAGAATGAAAAAGAAAAAAAAAAAGATTGAAAGTTTTTGAGTTTGGATCCCCACCTTACCAAAAAGTTGCTAAGTTCTTAAAAGAAATTTGATCCTTGAAATTTTGATTATCTCATCTCTTTCAAATTTTGAAAAGTTTAGATAAATTGCGAAATTCTCTCTTTTTGATTAATTTTTCCATACCACTTCTTTGTTAGCTATCACCCGTAGCCCCATTACAAGCTAAATAAAGTCCTAGTTGATCTTAACATGCTTTCTTAAATTTGATCTAGGAGAGTAAGAAGGGAAAGCCTATGGGATCTCATTCATGAGCTGTGTCTTGCATAATCTCAACTGAGTACTTGTTGCACACTTGATCCTCACATACTTTAAATTCTTGGTGTTTGGTTATTGGCTTGGAAATGGGTCTCTTATGTGCCAAACTAATTTGATTCTTGAACCTTGTTGTTTTGTAGCAAGTTGGTTGGTGGTTTGAAAAGTTGTGCAAGAGAGAGCATGAGTAACTTGTATGTTTTGACTTGTGATTTTATTCCTTGGTTTTGCTTGAGGACAAGCAAATGCTTAAGTGTGAGAGGGTGATGTTATCACATCTATGCTTGTTTTTGTAGTTATTTTGAATCATCTCAGTAATTAAGTTCTTTAATTTTTCTTATTTAATACATGTTTTCCTTGCTATTATCATTTAATTATGGTTCATACTTGTTTTGAATGTTTTACGGTGTTTGTTAGTGTTTTTGAACCATTTTAGGTCAAACTTAAAAGCAAGGGAAGTTCTAGGACGAGTTTGGAGCAAAAAAAAGGCAATGTGAAGCTAATGAGGTGGCTAAAATGCTACATAGAGAGCCAAAGAGTGGTACTTTCAATGGATTTGATCACAAGAATCAAACAAGGGAAAGTGGATCAAAAGATCGAAGAGTTGTAATTCCCGTTGAATTCGGCGACAACTTAGTATTTTGATCATATCTCATGCTAGGAATGTCCGATTCAGGTGATTCCTGCGCCATTGGAAAGAAGACTCGAAGGGCTACAACCTACAGCTTAGCATAAAACTCGACGCATCAAGCCCCAGGCTCGAAGTGTCAAAACTTTCCAGTAACATTTCATCTCGCTTAGATTGGCGATAGTTTAGTATTTTGATCATATCTCATGCTAGATATGTTCGATTGAAGTGATTCTTTCACCATTGGAAATAAAACTCGAAGGGATACAACTCTTATGAAGACATCAAAGTCTTGATAATAAGAGAAAAGGGTCAAAATAAGCTTGCAAAGCGTACTTATTGCACTGGGCGCGATTTTTAGAAACTTCCTAATTTAAAATGGCAATATTCCAAAGCAAGATGACTACAATAATTGCCTAATCATTCCAAAGCTAAACTTC